GCCATGGCTCGCGTCGGCGCCGTGGCCGCTGTGGGGCGGAAGGGTTAGCTCCGTGGTGGGGGTCTTGTTCTTCACGGCTTCGCCAGGACCCTCTGCCCCACCCCCCCCGCTGCAGGAGAAGGGGAGGGGGTTCCTGGGGGTGTTGTGGTACCTCCATGCATTTTTTGGGGGTGGGGAAGGGTGTTGTGGGGTCTGCACCTCCACCCCATGGCGGGGTCTACACCTCCAACCCATGATGGGGTCTACACCTCCACGCCATGGCGGGGTCTACACCTCCACCCCATGATGGGGTCTATGCCTCCACCCCATGATGGGGTCTATGCCTCCACCCCATGATGGAGTCTGCACCTCCACCCCATGGTGGGGTCTACACCTCTACCCCATGGCAGGATCTACGCCTCCACCCCATGGTGGGGTCTACACCTCCACCCCGTGATGAGGTCTACACCTCCACTCCATGATGGGGTCTACACCTCTACCCCATCCCAGAGTCTACACCTCCACTCCATGATGGGGTCTACACCTCTACCCCATCCCAGAGTCTACACCTCTACCCTATGATGGGGTCTACGCCTCCACTCCATGGTGGGGTCTACACCTCCACTCCATGACGGGGTCTACACCGGCGTGGTGGACCTCCTCCACCCCGGGTCCCCTCCGCCCAGCGCTCGGATTCGCCCCGTCATCGCGCTTTTGCAAGGGTGACATCATCATCCACGGCGGCAATCAACACAGTCATCGTTAATGAGCCCCGTAATTAAGGGCTCCACCGCACTCCTCCGCCTCCCCCTCCTTGTCTCCAGGCGCTTGACCTCCCAGCACCTCACGCTGCCCTTGGATGCCTCCCCCGGGCCGGGGCTGTGGGTCGTACCCCCTGGAGATGTGGGTCATCGCCCCCTCCCTGTGGCTGGGGGGCAACGGTTCTTCAAGGCCGTGGGTTGGAGGCACCTTTGGGTGGGGGTTGTTGCTGCCCGTGGACGTGGGTTGTGGGTCGCAAGGACATGGGCGGTTGCTCCTGGTGGTTGTGGTCACCCATGGCTGTGGGTCACTGTTCCCCGTGGGTCACCGCTCCCCATGGCCATGGGTCGTGGTTCCCTGTGGGTCTGAGTCATGGTTTCCCATGGCCGTGGGTTGGAGGCACCCACGGGTCACTGCTCCCCACGAATGTGGGTCATGGTTCCTCACCGCCATGGGTCATTGCTCCCCACGATCGTGGGTCATGGTTCCTCACGGCCGTGGGTCATTGCTCCTCACAATCGTGGGTCATGGTTCCTCACGGCCGTGGGTCATTGCTCCCCATGGAGAAGAGCTGTGGGCCCCACGGAAGTGGGTCAAGGCTCCACGTGACTGCGGGCCACGGTTCCCATGGCCATGGGTTGGAGCCACCCATGGGTGTGGGTCACCACTCCCTGTGGACATGTGCCATGGGCCCCACGGATAAAGGAAATGGGTCCCATGGGCGCGGGTCATTGCTCCCCACGGACATGGGAGGTGGGCCCCACGGACAAAGGTGGTGGTTCCCTGTGGAGAGGCTGGGGGGGGCTGGGGGGCTGGGGGGGGGGGGGGTG